CACGGTGGTCGTGGAGCTACAAGTTTTTCCATCAGACGGTCCCAGTCTACGTGTGTGTCTGTGGAGGGATGGAAAACAGCAAAATGAGAAGGAGCGCGTGGACGATGGAAGAAGGAGCAACGACAGAGAAGATGCTCGAGAGGTAGGAGGGAAAATAAAGTAAAAAAAAAAAGGAAGAATCGATGCAAGAAGAAAAGCCTGAGGGGAGGGAAGGGATTTCCGTGTACGGGAATGACAAGTATATAGTCCCGCTTTCGTCATTATGAATTATCTGTGTAGAAGTGACGCCTGCGCTTTTACACCGAGTAAAAGCGAATTTCACTGACGAATCGACAGACGCGGCCTACTGTCGCGGATCGAACAACAAACCAGCGAGAAAGCTTACGTAAAATCGTTCGATCCCGACAGTTCCTCTTTCGTATGCAAATACACACCCCCTTCGGCTGGGTTTATTTCCATATCTTCATCCTCTAAACCCAACTTCGATTCCTATAATCGGTTAATTCAGATCGCTAAGGAATTAGTCTCTGACGATCTTTAATCTAAAAAATAATCTGACTCCCAAAAATATCCGAGTATGTCGTTCCAGATGGAACGTCTAAAGAGAGATCATCATCTTCGTGTACGAGAGGGCCGACTCTACGTTCGAGCCATCAGCGATGTAATTTCACCGTTGTCAACGTGCCCGCAATTTCCGATAAACGTACCCAACCCGTCGTCCACCTTGTCGACACCATCCGGCTGGGTTTCATGCCCACTATTTCGTCGACGAGCGCAACCAAGTAACTTTTCGGACATGCAGTGAAACGTTAAATTCGATCGTATTATCGTGAAAGATCGTAGAAACATCGAATCATCAGGTTTTCTTTTTCCAAGAGTTTCTTCGATTACATCGTGAACGATCCAAGAAAGATCTGTTTACAAATGGGTTCAGAGCACGATATATGTGGCGTAATTTAAATTCGAAGGAACAGCAAGTCAAGTCCGGAACTGCGGCAACGCGATAAAAATCGTCTGCGTGACCCGCGACACCGAGTACACTGGACGGTGGTGCATCGATTCAACAAACGTTCGAAAAAAAAAAGAGAAAAAAAACTTTCTTCGAAACTCCCCTAACTCGAGCTGCCTACTCACCTGAGGCAACGTTCGCGCTCCTCCCGTCCGTGTACCCTGGTGGCAGCCCTCAACTTCCCGGCGTCGTTTCGAGCGGCATATCAAGCAGCCGGTTCCACGACGAAGCTTGCTCCCCGTTCCACGTCTGAATCCCCGTGAAAGAAGCTTCACACACGTCCTTTTCCTTCTAAAATCCCTCCTGAGCGGTGATGTCTTTCTTAACTACAGCACTCGATGGAACACTTCGCGATCGAACGTAGTTCACCGATCCCCCAGTCGTCTCTATCGGATGAAATCGAGGTTCGTTGTCCCTTGGACACTCACACCAACAATCTTCTCTTCCTTCGATTCCTTCGTTCCTACCAGTTTCCCAAACGATGACCACAAGTTTCTACCATTCACATTCTCCCAGTAGGCATTCATTCGCCCCAGTGCTCGATACAGACGGAGTAATTCACGAACTCGACGGAATTATCCCAGAAGCAGTTCTTCCCACCTGGTGAAACGTTAGCCTCTTGCTAGAGTGGATATACCTGGGCCCAGCTGGCACTGTACACCCCTGTCAATTCTATATTCGTTGGCTTGCCACGTTGCCTTCGATTGCGTCCTGGACGCACCAGCATCCACGGTGTGGTGGCCCAGTTGTCGCGTGCTCTCGATCCGTTCCTGATCCAGAGATGTGGACAACACGCACATAGGGTTCAGTAGCACGATGGGTGTCTCTGGACGTATCTGCGACGAGATTTATCGACGCGACTCCGCGAGGAGCGTAGCAGGTCCAAGCGGAGGGCCTGGTAGACGGCAGAAACGACGTACCTCGAGTGCCGTGGGAACTGTCTATGAGCATCTGAGGCGCATGCGTGGCCTTCGTGCGGTCCGATCGCCGCATGAAGGAACGCCGCAGCCTCGTTCCGACAACCTCCGCTATTTCGAAGACCCCCTCGAGCATCCCTCTTCGCCATCCCCCTCCCACCACAATGTCCACCCTACACGGTTCGTGTTTCTTCGGGTAGCGCGGGACACGTCGAAGGCCGAGGCCACGCGACTTCGTGGACCTCTTCGGGGTATCCTTCCCTGGCTGACTGGTGTTTCTTTCGTCTTTGGCAACGATTCGCGAACGTGTCGATGCTTTCGACCCCCCCGTCAGCTAATAGGTGTTTCGTTAACCTGTTGGTGACGCTTAGAAGAATGATATCCTGGATTTTGATAGTTTCTAGTCCATTTGGGTGAAGGAGGAAGATTTTTTAAGGGAAGGGAATAGGAGTTATATTGTCGTCCTTTGTATCCTAGGCTGTTTGGGATAAATGATACAGTACCCTCTCCCAATTGAACTATACAGTAAATCGTCGATGAGTGTTCAACGATTCAAACGTTGTCTCCATCACTGGGTGCTTGACAGGTTCCACGGGGGACCCCCCAGTGGTGGGGATGACGTCTGAACACTCGGTGTCGAGGAGTTTTGGAACACTCATCGGTGATTTACTGTATTGTAGTGCCTCCTCGAGTGAAACAAAATATATAAGTATTCCATTGGTTCGAAAGGATGGAGTAGGAGTATTGACGTTATCTTTGCTTTCCATATTGACCTCTCTGATAATTCCCAATTTTGAGAAGTTCTGATTGAGGTCCTACCGTAATCAAGAATCATTTAAAATTGCTGTTTTGCGACGCGACAAGCTTCGTTTTAGGTAGAGACGTAAAGTAGAATTCGATCTGAAGGATATCGAAACTAATCTTCGGAACTTCGATTCGTAGACAGTCAGAAAATGCATTTTCGCGGTGGATAATGAACAGTTTCTGTTCATGTGAAGTATTCTGGCACGTTTTCGATCGAAAATCTCGGCCTGGGATGTACGTCGGTGAAAATCGGAGTGAATTTTCGAGGCGATGGACGGTGGTAGGAGGCTCGGCAATGTCTACCGCATTTTCCGAGAAGAAAAGAGCACTTTTAGGTTATGCCATCCTCCCCCCTTCAACCCCTCGGGGTGAAGTTGCTTCGATGGAACTTTCCACGCGGGGAACGAAACATTAAACGCAAGGCGAAAAATATTAAAGATAAAGGTAAACGTGTTTCTCAAGCTCGCTATTAACGAACAATAATTGTTTCTTAGTTAACAGAGGCCAATCGAGTTCACCAATTAAAATGCTATTATCGGGTAGTCTAAATGGTAATTAGAATTATCGCGGCTTTCTGGACAACAGTCGCGAGAATTGAAATTCTAGTGTGCCACGACAACGGGGCGCCAGGAAACTTTTTTTTTGTCGATGAGAAATTCGAAAGAAAGGAAACTTTGAAAGAAGGAGAGGGAGAAAATCTTTAAAGGAAGATAGGGAAAAAGTCCCTGAAAAGTCGAATCGAAATTACAATCGATCGATTCGAATGCCTCCAACAGAAAGTTTTCTGCTTCCGGGGATATCGGTTTAATCAATTGAAATGATTCGATCGATATTCAAACGGCTCCCGTTACAGTTTCCTTATTAACTTCTTTGTTCCGTGAAAGACGAACATTCTGACGGGAGCCTTTTGGCCCCCTTGGTTGTGGGACGAACAACAAATACACGGGAAAAGTCTATAATTTGATGTAAGAAGCACATATTCTACGCAGAACTGGTTAACGTAAATTTTTCGGTTTTAAACTGTATGCAGGACGAATAATATGTAAAAGCAGGTATCACGTGATTCCTTATGAAAAAATAAGAAAAAAATACGGAATACAATTTTGTCATTCTCGGCTTGGTTTTCGAGAAAATCGAATTTGAAAATGAATCTGAGACGCGTGTATACGCGAATGATAGTAAGTAGAAACGGAATGCAATGATCAGACGCGCGAGCCAAGCCAAAATGCCTGTATTCACGGCACTAAGTAGAAATGGAATGCACTGGCCAGACTAGCAAAGTCCTATTCAATTGCACACGTATCCAGCAGACATTCAAAGTCGATTTTCTCGAATATTAAACCAAGAATGACAAAAATTTATTCTATATTTTTTCCTTATTTTTTCATAAGGAATCGCATGGTGACCGATTTTACATTAATCGGCCGCACTCAGTATGTATTTTTGTTTAGTCAACGTCATGTGAAAGTTTATGTAACGTACAAGCGATAGAAAATGGCAACGTGAAATTTATTCTCCTCCGAGGGATTCATTATCGAATACTGTGCGTCCTTGCGTAAGGACGATTAAAAGATGAAAGAAGAACGCCGTTTGAGGCCCTTCGATCCACTTTTCCGGAACCGCCACCCTATTATATTTCCTCTCGAGAGGAAGATTTCATTTTTTCGCTCCCTTTATCTATATCCCGCGACTCGTATACGCGGATCGAAACAGGTTCCCTCTTTTTGCGAGTGACAGCGTGCTCCCGGAAGACCTGCCAACGAACGTCGACGCTCCTACTTCTTTTCATTTTTTTTCCTCCTATTTTTCGGGGGATACGTTGGCGCGCTGTACGCGGCTTTTCTATTTCCCGTCCGCGAGACATCCTCGAGAGTATTCACGAGAGAAAATTGTTTAGAACCGACGCCTTACGGTTAGAAAATCGAAGTCGTAGGTCTAGAAAAATCATGGTTCATGTAACAGAACCTATGACATTCTGCATTCGCCTAAAATTCTATGCCTAAACTTGAGCCACAAAGCTCAGTTCGATCAGTTTCTTAGTTCAACAGTTATAATTTCTTAAAAAAAGGCTGCCACTATATTTCAAACAACCATAAAATCAACAATTTAAAAAATGTTGAAAAAAGTCTTCGAGATTCGTTTCTACATGCATCATTGAGGGAAAAAATATGTGGCATTCCATTTAAAGAAATTAAAAATGCGACTAGTACATATATTCGACTACTCACCGAGCGCCGCACAGGTGTGGAGTGCGTCTGAGATACGTTCGGTCACCTGTCACACCGGAAGATGTATCTAACGGTACGGGCGAACGCGCGCACCTTCGCGATCACCTCCTCCTGCATCAGGTTGAAGCACATCGCGATCAACGCCATACCTGTAACACACGTGTCGTCGTCGTATCGAGTTATAGCCATCGTGTGTCCTGTCAGAGGCAACGTCGATGAGATTGCTGGTCGCATTTATTGCGTGAATTCCCCCTTGAATGTTTATTGCAACACTCGAGGGAGTTAGGTGGAGAGAGGGTAGGGGGAAAATAGACCGACCCATCGGCAGAGTTCACCGCATCGGCTCGAGACGTTACGGTTCGAACACCGAAGCGACACGCGTCGCCCAGAATCCTCTCGCGATAGGTCTGTGGTTGCGTGAGCGAGTTCTTCGATAACAAGAATCGCCACATAATACTTTTCATACATTTTTGAATGTTTCAGAGCCACAGAAATAAAATATTCTAATATTGATACATACTATACTATTATAGATTATCGAGGAGTTACCTCACCTTAGCCACTTGAAAATCATAAGTATATTTATGAATGCTTTCTGGGAATACCATGAAGTAAACTGGAAACCAGTTGCAAAGCCTGTATTATATACAGAGTCAGTCAATAAGAAATACTATCTAAAATAATTCGTTACCTATTTAAGGGACCTATTACCTATTAAGAGGCATTTTAAGGGATGGATGGATATAATTTCATTTTTTTACATCTTATTCCTTTCTAAGATATTAAGGTGACTTTCTGTTTTTTCAAGATTAACGCATCTTTTGTTAATATCATCGTGTATTAAAAAGAAATTTCGGAAACATGGCAATGGAACCCAATATTGTCTCAAGAGCTTTTCTAGCCTCATGTTGGTCTATGGGGTTCCGTTTGTTATTTCCAGACAAGTCTTTTGTCGTTGAACTTTACACGGTTCCGTGGCGTCGAAAGTGCCGCGAGGTTGAAAAGCAATCGATCTCGCGCCCCTTGACACGCTTCCTCGACACTTTGCTCCTCGAAATTCATTAAGTGGCGCGGGGTGATACGTACGACCTTTTCGGTCGCGAATAAACCGTGGAGGAGAGAGCCCGTTATCAGGAAACACCCGATTAACGTGAACGGAGAACGATCGTTGCACTTTGGACACGTTTCGATTTCGTGAAACTGCTCAGCGAATCGGTAGGTTTGAATGAATACGTTTGAAACACCGGGGCCTGTTCCCCCTCTTGTCTAAAGCGGATAAACTTGTCCCGTTCGACGAATTAAAGCTGTTGAGCCCTTTTAAAACGATTAAGTCTGCCCACGCGACATCGTGTTCCCCCGGTACGGAAATCCTCCCCCCTGGGGGAAAATCCGATTGTCGTTCTGGCAAAGAAACAATTACGACAGGGAGCGGCCCGTTTGTCTACTCGCGCGACGATAACTCCTCCACCCCCACACTGGCCTGTTCATCGATAGTTTTTAAATCTCTCTCTTCGTCCGTCCAACCCCTTCCCTCCACGAATCATTGATACCGATCGATCTTTCGTCTCATTGTTCCTCCCCAGAGAGCGACAGGAGGAATCCTCGTTGATCGTTCTGGCGCGCTCGGGATTCCGATAGAGTTTATTCGTCAATGTCCCCAGCTCTATTTTTACCGTAAGAATAACCGTCAATGTCTCTTATTCGAGATGAAATATCGTTTTTACACTTTATTTTATAACGTTTGTGTAGGGTCTCTTCTACTGTGCTTTATCGATCGGTGAAGTGGAATGGGACAGTATTCCCTCTCTATAGTAGCGCGATTATAGGGAGGAATGGATGCTACGGATGATTTCGTGGATATTTATGGAAAGCAAAAATTGTACAAGTGTGTGAAGATTAAGGATTGAATATTAGGCGAGATTATAGGAAGGGTATACCGTACTGCGAAGATTTTTCACTTTGTGCGAGGTGTCTAAAGTAATATGGATATTATTATAACCATCGTTTTGGTCGTCGTTGATTAACCCTCAAAGAGTAAATGCAGGGTCATTTTGACTCTATGGCCGTATTCTTTGTAGTTATATGTAACATGTGAACTTGAAAATATACACAAAATTTTATGCATAATTTCTTCTTGAATGCTGCGTACAAGCGAAATTTTACTAGGGGTCAAAATGACTTTCCTTTGACCAATCGCCTTGCAAGGGTTAAAGAGGGAATAATCTTGGTTATTGGATAAATAAATTGACGGTCAAGTCTGGTAATCGATGAATATCGGAGGGTCCATTGAGAAATTAAGGGACAGGGTGCGAAATGTTTGACTCACCGAGCATCAGGTACATGGAACAGAAGATGAAGGACAAATCTAGGCCCTGTGCCGCGTAGATTTTGTCGCCGGGAACGATATCCCCGAAACCTATGGTCGATAAGGAGACGAAGCAGAAATAAGAGCCATCCAGCATGTTCCATTCCTCCCACTCGGAGAACAGGATCGCTCCGCCCCAAATGTATCTGGAAAGTCGTTCGAAACGTCGGAACTTTTAGAAATTTCCCCCCCTCCAGTTCGACTCACGCTAAATAATTCCGTGGCTGCTCTCGGCTCGAACTTAAGTGGCCCCTCCCCCCGATGTCGCGATACCGAATTAGTTTTACTTGTATAGATAGGTTAAAAATATCAAAAAACATGTAATATCTTATTCCAAGAACTGGATGATAATTATTTTCTAGAATTTATGATCATTAGATTGCGGATGTTCATGCAAATTTAGAATTTTAGGCATTAATTTATAAACGTGAAAACCAGACAGAAATTTAGTTCCTATACTAAATGTCTCATTATGTTGATAGTAATATATAAATTTCATTAAGTTTTATTAAAATCTTTATTCGACTGCATTTTGCATATTAAAATTTTCTATAAATGCATAAACATCCGCAATCTAATGATCATAGTTACGATCAGTCGTTTTCCATATTTTTGCTTCACGTAATGGATTTTGAAAGAAATATTATTATCGAGTTCGAAGAAATTCATTTTGGATTACGCCTTCTCTATAAATGGTCGTAAAATACTTTTTTCATGCAGGATATATGTATCGGAGATTAATGTTTCTTGAGTATTATTTTAATGTATCGTACTCACCCGACCATAATGGCGACGCAGAGAGTCAGAGGCACCGTGACGCGTTGAGGATCGTAACTGCTGCTCTCGTCATCGTCCTCGTCGTTCCCGTCGTCCTCTTTCGCCCCGTCACTGCTCTGTAAACTTTCTTTGCCCACGCTGAACGTATCTATCTCTCTTCCATGCATATTGACCATCTGTTTATCAAGAGATCATCATCATTGCTATATAATCAATCGATTGCAATCGTACCAACTGTCGAGTACAGAAGCTGACAATCGAACTTTTTCGAAATAAACTTGCGATTGTACTTCTGCGTTAAAATTAAAAGTAAATTAACACTTACCTGCCAATGATTTTTCCTAATATCAACGCCGTCCCGTTGAACACCCCTCACAGTAAGTTCCCGTGGTTTCCTCCGACATCTTGAAAAAAAAGGAAAAAGAACGTTTCTATTTTGTATTGTCTGTAACAACAACAATGAAAACGAATAGATGATATATTTTTAAAATTCTTCGTCACTAGATTCGAAGAGAAATAAGAAGAAGAACGTTCACCTGCAGAGGCAGCAACGGGCGTAGGTCCATTTGAAGCTCTTCGCAAGAATGTCGCCGATGTTGCTGAGATAGAGCAAGAAAAGTGGCATGCCTATTATGGCGTACACTATGGTCACCACTTTGCCCCATTTCGTTTTCGGACAGATGTTACCGTAACCTGTCGAATCATTCCTGATTAACTCAATCGAATAAGAACGTTTCACAATTCTTTCGCAATATCTGACCGATAAAAATATTTTCTCACGCACGAATCCACACTGTTTTTGGAACACTCCAATACATTACCTATTAGTTACATTAAAAAACGTTTAATGAATTATATGTATAGTATTTTAAGGGACGTATTGGATGTTAATTTTTTTTTATTTTTTTAAAATTGATGAAAACATTCAAGGTCACCTTGATATCTACAAAAAAAAATAAGATACACTGAAATCGAATTGCATCCATCTGATGCATACTTTAAAATCCTATATAATTCATTAGAACGTCTTTTAATGCAACTAATAGGTAATGAGTAATTTTAGATAGTAGTTTTTATGGACTCGTCCTGTATATTTGTCGCGCAAAAAATTGAACATTAAACCTTAAGTCGTTTTCCTACCCTTCTCCTGCCGAGAAAGTGTCCCACGAGAGTGTCGAAGGGAAAGTGGCTCGCAAAAAATGTTAACAGCCCGGCCTTTGATATTTATTATCGATTTCAACGGTGGTCCAGCGGACACGGATCGTAACCGGACGAAATACGATGGCCACTCATCGATAAAAACACGCGGGGAATTCCAGTGGCTGCTGGGAAAATGATTCTTCCATGGTATTGGAAAAACTTTTCAGATCTCGATCTTTAGGATCGTTCCCGGCGTCGAACGTCGGAAATCGTCCGCGAAGGAACGCCACGACGGAAACTTATAGTCGATTGAGTAATTAATGCCCGAGAGAAAACGCTCTATCGAGAATTCTTCTGTTTTTTTTATAGTCTTACAGGCGCCGACCGACGTGGCGGGGGTGACCTCCATTCGAGAATTTAATTAAAATACTTTCGCCGTTATAAATCCACCCATCCCCCCCAGATATATTTGTAAGAGTGGACATTTTTTTTCTACCTGTACATATTTTCCCTCATTTTCTAAAACATTTCGCCATACATACTTTTCAATACTAACTTCCAGTTTCCCTTCCACAAACATTAAAAAAAATCTCGCACACCTTAAGTGATGACCATAATATAAAATAGTCTCTGAAAACAAATAGTTTATCCCAGATTCATAAAACTCTCGTTGTCACGACCCCCGAATAACGTGGCGAATTCATTCGAAACAATGCCGATAAACCCGTGTGCTGCATCGTAAAGATGAATCGTCCATATGACAACGAATCGCGAAGCAGCGCGTGTATATTTCCCAGGTGAAATTCTGCTAGGAATACGTCGTGGTTATCTACGAATCACTCGATGCATTAAAAATCCTCCCTTCCACCCCCGTCACGTTTATTCGTTGAATAAACGACGCGTTCCGTCGACGTTGTATCGTCCGCGAAACCGCTATCCCTCCATTACTTTTAAATATTCGCGATTAAGGAAGCAACGAAGCCGCAGTCGAGTTTTCATTCGGCTGATTTTTCTGTCGAAGAATCGTCCTCCCGTTGCTCGAATGTTGAAGGGCTGGGGGTGGGGAAACGGCGTGTGCGTGCGAACGGAAACATCGATATCCTCGCGCGAATCCACCCCCTCCCTCTTCCATCCACCACCCCCGCGCGTGCAGCAATAAAACCGCGGTCGGATTATTTTCAGGCTCGGAGCGGCGTATTATAATTTATCGACTTCACGGGACGATGATTTATTCGACGCCGTTATTCAACGGCAGAGATTTTTGCGTTTCCGTGAGGTGGATGGATAAAAAAATCGTGGTCGTTGGGGGTGGATGTGTACCCATTGACGTTTGTCTGCAAGTTTTTTTTTATGAACGATGGGAGAATTGAATCGTTCGAGAAAGTTAATCGGTTCATGGAGGTATATGAGAGGTTACTGGAGGCGGTGAAATCGACAATTAGTGCCGATATTTACGCGAATCGAAGAATTGTACGAGTTAATTGGACGGATAGATATTTGTTCGAGCGGACAGGTAGGGTAAATTTGTTTAAATAGATTCGTTTAATATCGACATTTTCGACTTGACAATAACAAGATACAACGTATGTATCAGTCTCATAATTTGGAAACAACGATTTCAGGGTCTATGTCTTAAAGGTGGCAACGAATTGGGACATATTTAATCAGTCAAAGCGTCTTCGGGAACCACCACGGAGCAGCGAATAAATCATCGACGATCCTAGGTAATCAGCGTCGAGAGTCCCAAATCGTGATACTTGTTGACGGATCGAGGACATTAGGCGGCGGGGAGCCGAGGAATTCTCGTTGCCAAGGAATTATTGGCGATCAACCAAAAGTGTAACGGTGAACCGATATCCCTTGGTAGGCTGGGAGACACTGGGATCGCCTCGTTATAACCGGCAATATCGCCGTGGGCCAATCAATTATCAAGATTAATCGCGGCGCACGCTCGATAATTCGCGGCTGGCCCGCTTTATTTGCCTGTAATTTATTAATAATCGCGCAGAGAACCCGCGTATATACCTCGGTCCCGAACGGACGGTTCGGTGATTAATAATCAGGCGGATCGTCGCTTTTCAGGTTGTTTCTTCCGTGATACCCTCGTTAAGCCCTTTACATGCTCGTCGACGGTTTTAACGGGATTCTCCTCTACGGTGAGATCACTTCATCGGTGTGATCGAAATGACACAACCCGGATTTTCCATTGGAAGAGAGTGAAACCGTTTGTTCGTTTCGCGTATTATACAGGGCAGTCGTGTGATTAACATCATTTATTACAGGAGCATACAAATGTAAATTACGATGATAAAATATTAATTTCAATGAACCTCGATCAACATCCTTATTTGACTCGCAATTAAACAAAACCCGTAATACTGGAAAAATAAATTTCTCTTCAGTCTCAACATTTGTGCATTTGTTACTCGTTGAAAAATTTAATGCATACATCAGAAGATCAATACAGAATATATATGAATCGAAGGTTGTTGAAGATAGTGCACGCTAATTTTGAATACCAATTCCAGAATAGAATAATCACTGAGACTATAGAATAGGGTAAATGTAGTTAATCATTAAACCGAAATGCATGTATAAATTATACCGAAGTCACTTCATTCGATTTCTCGAAAAAAGTATACAAATACAAAAAAGAATTTCATCAACCCAATATCTATGCAAGTTCTATAACTATTTGCACCTGTAAAATAATTAATGAAATCTACTCCACTGTCACGAAAATCGAATTTGAAAATCGACATCAAGATACGAAGTGCATAGTACAGTATTTCATTGATCACTCTCTGACTGCTTCAACACGATTTTTGTCAAGGCATCATTTCCACCACTGGGAGGCTGTGGAACCTATCGAGGTCATACTTTGTAGCCCCACTGCTTTTGTTATCGATGCTCAGGCTTCAGGCAAAAAACAAATTTACAAGGGTCTGAAGCATTTCCCCCGCTCGAAACTTGTCGCCACGCGGACCCGAGCTCTTGACAATAATCAACGGAACACTGTATTTCGCGAAAATTCTCACGAACCTTACTCTCCCCCGAGGACCTGTTATTTTCGTTCGACAGCCGGTTACGCCACGTACAGAGACTCGAATTTCGACGCGTTCACCGACGGTTATCGTAGCGGAGTCGCGAGGGTCGAGACCGTCAATCGATCTGGTTCTCTGTCGACTAGCCGACCCTTTTAGGCTGATGCTGCTGGCCTGTAATCACGGTCGAGATAAAGTGGATAGCCAGGGTTGGTCTTGTCTCGAACGGTGTGTGAGAGTGAGAGAAAGGAAGAGTGAAAGGTGAACCAGAGGGAGACAGAGGGAGAGAGTGAGAGAAAGACCTCCGGAATTAATTAAACGGTCGCCACCGCACGCCCCTCTAACGCGCCAAAAGTTCGCGTCGTTAATTCCCTCTATCTCCGAGCTGCGCGCCTCTCCTTTGTCTAAAAAAGAAATATCGAGCGGTGGGTAATAAAAACACGGAGGCACAATGGAAATTTTTGGTCGTCCCGTTCCGCCACCCCCTCACGAGAATTTGCGCGGGTTCAAGGCACGCGGTATCCCCCTCGTACACTGTGTGCTCAGTCGCTGGTCTTTGAACGCATGGAAATTATTTATTGTCGCTGGAAGAAGAATCCACCATAACCTTCAAACGATCTTCGGAGAAATTAATCTTCGAACAGCATAACCCAACGTACGAAGACGATGTTCATGGTACCCGTACTCTAGTAGGCTTCTATTGATGTCATTAAAAGCAACGGAGATATTTCAGACTCGCCCTGTATATCAGTATCATAATATTGAAATAACCATTTAAGGGTCTAGACGTTAAAGGGTTAACTGCGTCTGTCGTCGATAGACGACAAAGATGAAACATTCTCGTATAAGTCATATGAACAGTGAAATGAGGTTTATGAAATATTCTGATGAATTTTCGACTATTGTTTATTAACACGCGGAAAATCCGTAGTTTATGAACGTAAGATTAAGCGAAATACAATAGAAAGGTCTGTGATTAGACGAATGATTGAAAATAATCGTTTATGAGAAAGTACTTCCCTATTGTTCAAGCATTCTTGAATGCACGTGGGTTTCGAGTATAGCTAATCTATGTTTGATGATGTCTGACCATTGTCCGTCGATTCTACTTGTTCGTTTTAACGATATAATTCCATAGATCCTGCACGGCCGGGCGAAACAAAAGCTCGTTTGATTCGTGTTCCCGGTCCTTTCTTTTCCGCAGTACACCATAATGCAACGGGATTTGTACCCGCAACGGCCAATCAGGCGTAATTCTGTTGACAGACAACGCGTTAATTATTCGGAAAAGCGAGCTGGGTTTGTCAGATTGTTGGCGGAATTTCCGAGACGAGATCGATAACGACAAGGACGGAGAGAAGTCCAGTTTGCACGAGAGATTTCGCTGGAGTTTACTTACGAGTTTGTTACTCGTTGCACAAATTGCATATCGGCTGATCATTTGGGCAAACAGAGTCTGCGCTAATCCCGCGAAGTTACGACGTCGGACTATTATGTTAACCGAATCCCTAGCCAACAGACTTTGTTTGTAAAAAAAAAAACGTTCCCAGATCGTTGTTGACGATCGAGAGAATCTTTTCAACACGTCGTCTGCCACAGTGGAAAAGGCTGTACATAGTCAGACACATTTTATTTCGTTTTTTACGTCATAAATCGCCGAAAATATATGCGTTTAGTTAATAGCTTTTGGGTCTCGTTTTAAATTATACTACGATATTAATTTTACATGAAAATTTTGTAACGGTATTTAAACATCACGAAAAATATTCGTCGAGATTTCTCGAGTAGATTCCTCATCCGAGAACATGTACCTGAACTTCTAGAAGGGAGTCGAGAACGGCTTTAATTTCCGGCCACCCTGTATAAAGGACTATTGATAGAAGAAAATTGATTTCCACGGATAGAGAGACCTTCGGGCTCGATGATCCTCCGAGGTCGCCGGGAAATATGAGTCAATTAATTTCCGATCGCAGCGTCGTTGACCGCCTTTACTCGAGGACATTAAGCGAGAACCGATGACGGTTCTTTCCCTCGTGGCGGACGTTGAGCAAATTTTCATCGCCTACGATTTTTTTCTTGCGTGATCGTTATCGTTTAGTATTATCGTCTCGATAAACGAAAAACAGAGTTCACTTTTGGCGATCGAAGGAAGAAAGAACTAGTCTTCTGTGGCCTTCTTGATCCCTCTTTTCTAGGTTAATATAGTACTTTCCCCCATTGGTTGAATCGGTGCTTGCGTAATCGATGTTCCAACCGATTTAAATATTAACGTCGACTCCTGAGTCATTCTGTACCCAGGCAAATTCCCCCTCGCGGAATCTGCAACGCTTGCTTTGAAACGTGTGGCCGTTCTGGGGCCGAAGAGGGAGATTCCGTTCCACTGACGAGCGAAGCTGACCGTTTCGTTTCCGATGCTGACTTCGATCAGTCTACCGTGGTCACAATGGACTTTCATAGTGATCGTTCCACAAAGTCCTATCAGGTCAAACTACGAGGCCTGGTGTTCTGGGATTCGTCGATTACTGTCGATACTTTAATTATTCTTTTCTAAGTAACTATCTGTAATATTAATCCTTAACTGTTCTGGTGTAAAATCTTATGGAATTTTACGGAAAATATTTTATAATATTAATTTAACTTAAATAAATTTCATTAGTATTTTTTTAGGATCGATCGAATTATTCTCGTTCTTGGTTTAAGAAAGTACCACCATCGATGGCTGTTTTAGCATCCATCTCTGACGACTGAAGACCAGGAGAAACGGATTAATTAATCGACGACGATACAGTGTGTCAATCGGAGGATCGATTAAGATCAACGCGCCCACGGAGTAGCTTCGTCAGTACCCTGGAGGACGGCCGATCAGGCGTGGCTCAGATCGGCCCCGTTAATTAATTTCCGGCCTAACGAACTCCCTCCACCTATGATTCGCAGGCTTGTCGGCTGTCGTGGCCCCCGGGCAAAAGTAATTTTCCAACCTGGGTACAGAGATACGCTGACCCTGATTCGATATCTCGAGGAAATACGAAACTCGTCTGGGACTGGAGTAATTAAATCTTGAGACTTCCTCTACACGTCGAGAAAAAGAGAGAAAAAGACTTTGTTTAGTTTGTTCTGTGACTCTTATAGAAAATACATGTCTCCCTTGACTTTGGCTATTCTGGAAGGGAATAATCCCTTTATCAACTGGAAAACAATTTAACACACATACACACAGATTTACAGGATTTTTTTTTGAAGAAACTGTAAGAACAAGGGTAGAAACAGGGAAGAACGTCTCATCGATGATCAAAAGACTTTGTTAGAAAGGGATAGAGAACGGTGATACCCTTTAGAATAAGTAACCTCAAATCTACCTACAAGCTAGATCGTCATTTATCATGAGCAAACACATTTTTTATAAAGAAAATATTATTTTAAAAATGTTGCAAAATGCCTAGAAACGACTATTGCTTCTTGATTTTATGAAAAAAAAGTTTCTGCACAAGATACCAGAAAGATGCAGTGAACGGGTTAATGAGAATGGATACGAATATCATTAAACCTTGATGAATATTCTAAGACCTCCTCTGTTCTTATAATGATTCTACGAATTTATAAGATATCGTATATTATATAAGCTCACCGATCGTTGTGATCACTGTTAGGGAGTAGAGGAAGGCCCCAGCGAAGCTCCACCTCTTGTTCTCGTCTGCTCCGTCGTAGCCATTCTTCACGGACGTTACTAATTTCCTCTGGTAGCTCTCGAGAATCGCTCTAACTTTCGTCTTCCAGATCCGCTCGGAGAACACGTTTTCCTGCGCAAAGAACGTTAAATACCGTCAGCTGTTCCACAACTGCACGAATTATGCAGAGCAATCTATATTTAACATTCAGAATGTATAAGAGTAGTTAAAGAGCGTAACTGTGTCGATTTACATGAAACCTTTCGCGCCTTATTTTAAATCAGAAAAACTGGCCCTTGAACGAAGGATTTTATTTTTGTTCCATACTTTTTTTTTAATTCACCAAAAACGAGTAATTTTGTGGTGAAAATCGCACTTTTTCAGGAAAATGTCCACCATTTTGTTCCTAATCAATATTTCGAAAAACCCCACGTTCAAGGACAAGATTGGTTCTTCCATTACATAAATCTTACTGAATTTTTCATTTCAGATGAACCGTTACGAAGTTACAGTGATCACGACATCCGGGAGATCGCTCACCATTTATTTACTAATAAATATTTTTAAATAAACAAATTACCTTACAATCTAGAAACCGTAATCTTCGAAACACAAACACATTTTTTGAAAAAGGTCATATAGTTTTTGAGAAAAAAATTCCCAAAAAACATTCTTCTTTCGAGCTCCTGACTGAGCATGACCCCTTAACCGTAAGAAAAATACCAGAACAGTTAATTTCGACCTGGTCTATACGTCGAGAAAGTTACGAATCGCTGGGATGAGGTGGGGAAGAGAGCCGTAAAGATCGAGCTCCGAGACAAGAAAATAAAGAGGAAACTCGTCACCTTGGAAGTAAGCTCCCACAGGGTGGCAGCTGTCATGTTTCTCAGCCTGATCACATCTCCGGCGACGTCCAGGCTGTTCCTGCCCTCGATGTGGGTGAAGAGAAAAGCGCCGGCTATAGTGTAACCGACCACCAGACAGACGATCCCGACGTTGCTGAAGAGGAAGGCTATCAGAGACCTGGTCCAGTCCGCGATCCTCTCGGTCCACGGTTTCCGTCTTCGTTTCCGTCGTCTCCCGCCGCGACCCACGCCGCGATAACTTCCACGCTGCCAGTTTCTACCCGACGACGTACAGGTCGGTCGATCCCCTTCCATCTTTCATCGATCATCCGTAAGAGTGAGTCCTCGAGACGTCGCCCCGATGGTTTTTTCGTCGGTTTCCCACGCGTGGCCCCCTCCTGTCGGTTCAGGAAAGTGTTCTACAACGAGAAAAAGAAAAACACCATTTCCACGGTGGAGTGAAACAAGTCTGTTATTTCGCTGATACGTTTTGATGGAGCAATATGGAATAATTCCTTGCTATCCTACAGCGTCGATATACTCGAGAGACCCTATTAATGTAACGTCTAATGGGAGAAATTATAGAAGCTAGTAAATTTTTATTCTAATAATTTTTCGATATATACTATCTATAGCTTTCAAGATAACACAGGGAAATAGGAAAATATACATTTGAAGACACTTGGTATTCCTGAATGGTAAAGAGTTGGAAGTTCCTATAGGGTGGTTTATTAAAAGATTTCTGACTACATTACTTATATCTTTAAAATGAAGGGAAAAGTACCTCAACCCCATGTATGGTCGAATTGTTAGGAAACTATAGTATGGTCTTTGAGGGTTAAACGAGAATCGAAATTTTCTTCTTGTTATTCGGTTTCTAGGGTTCAAGGAACCAGGAATGTAACTCCAGTAATGATAATAGAGAGCCACGAAGGATCAGGAAAAGGGGTGGGCTGCAAGAGATCCAGGTGCTAATCACGAGACATTATACTAATGGTCTTTCACGAGTTTCTGTCCGTTCGTCGCAAAGTACTCTGCCGAATCGTAAAGCCACGAGACGCGCACGGTGTCGCGGGAAGAAATGCAATTTGAAAGTTTCATGCGTAACGAACGTACCAAGCTCTGTCTGTCTAATGGCGACCACCACGCGTAGAGACTCTCTCGCCCATGAAAATTTAAGCCGAATGAAATTTCCACGGCGCTCTACACACTGGTTCAGGATCAAAATTTAACAGTTTATACAGGCTTATTTGGTTCAACCAATCGAAAATTTTCAAATCTACAATTTTATCTAAGTGGATGTGGATAAACGAAAACTTTTTTGTCAATTTCAGGGACCCTCTTCGATGACGACTCTTCATTCACTAACTCTACAGATGAATTTTTTGCTATTTTTTTACTGAAACCGATGATTCGAAATGTGTTGAGAAGAACAATAACGCGTGGAACAAATCTTTCATGGTTAATGATAAATTGATTTGAGTTTTTTTATGGGTATTAAAAGAAATGTTTTTGAGCGTTGGAACTGCTAAAGAATGAGAAAAATAATGTATGGAACAAATCTTCTATTGTTAATATAGTTACTTTTTTTTTTAGAAAATAAAAGAAATGTTTTTCACCATTGGAACCACTAAATTTTTGTTCTGGACCACTGTGCGCCTGGTCTAGAACATGCGCGCGAGACCAGGTATATAAAAGTAACTGAACTGTTGCCAACGTCTCTCTGCCGCGCGTGTTGTCATGGTTATTTGAATATGAATAAAATCACCGAAAATACGGAGGCTCCGCGAGCTTTCGTGAATATGTAAAAACTGAACTTTTTTCTGGAAAACTAAACGGTCACAATGCTTGCCCAGCCGAAATTCGCCGTAAGGTGATTTTTCGCGGTGTGAACAAAGAGAGAAATCTCGGTGAAACGTGTACAAAACTAAAAGAAACTATCGTATATAAAACTCGCAGTATATGAAAAAATACACGATATTAATTTTATTTCGTAATTTAAAACACGTAGCCGTTATTTAAAAAAGCTTGTCCCCCTCCCGTTGTGCAATTTCAAACAAAAAGTATTTCAGTACGGTTACAAGAAAAAAAAAACAATGAAATAGAAAGAACTCACAACACCGTATACAGCATAATTCGAAAATGCGTCCATTCGTTCCCTTACCTGACGAGACTCGAGACCGATAACTTCATCCCCTATTCCACCAAGAACGTCACAAGTCCAGCCAACTTCCTTCCTCTTGACGATAAAGACCACCGGGGGTTTATCTCGAGGAACCCGTCCGCGGATCCGTTCCAGAATAAATGAATAGGAAGATAGTTGGACCACGGGGTACACGAGCAAACCAGATTATAGGTGACCGTTGACCCGTCCCGATCGAAAATCACAGTGGCAGAGGACTAATAGGAAATGTTCCTAGTATCGTCATTCTCCTTTCTGCTCCCCTGAATGTATATCGTACGACGGAGGTCTCTGGTATCGACTCCGTTGAACGGCCCGCAGGGAATCGAAAACGCGTCTCGATCGGTTAGCCACAGTGGCTCAACGAAATCTATCGTTCGAATCGTTTACGAACGAGAAATTCCATTTCGAGGACGGATGAAAATCGCGACTGGGCTCCGGTGGTCCCATTCCGTGCGATGTTGCACCGCAAGGATCACTTTATCCTGAGATTTTTTCTCTCTCTTTCGTTTGGTAGCAACCGTTTGTTGCATGCCCAGCGACATCGTCGAGGAAAACGAACGAAATTTCTGTTGGTCTATACATAGACACGAACGCCGGTGTGTCTTACGTACTCGCGAACGTTGGACGCCCCATCGCGACGAACCGCCACGTGTTGGCACCGTGCTGCACACTTCGCCCTACTGGGGACACATTCACGCTTCTTCTTGTAGATCATGACTTCTTCTATGACTCTTTTCCTGCATTTAAACTACGAGTATTATTCGTTATACACGATACGGAACTTTCATTCTTGTGTATTCGTATCTTCTATCGTTGTTTTTCTATATTCTTATATAATTCGTTCTCTGTTTCTGGTTTGTAATCCGTTATTTGTTAGTTTGACGATAATTACGCTGGGATCAAACTTTCTGTATATTCTTGTAAATGCTTTTGTAAATTTCTTCTTTTTTTGCTGTGTATTTTTGTAATTCTTTATTTTGTCCTGCAGAACTTCTTCTAAATTTTGTTAAACTTTCTGTATGTGACTATAAGTTCTTGGAAACTATGGTATATTTTCAAGCATTGTTGAATAACTAAACTTTTTGTTTACTCTGTAGACTTCTACACACTTGTAAATTGTACCAAAGGGCTCACAACCCATTTATAAATAAATACTATATTATTTTTATTATCCACGTTGTATCATGCCTATTCCCCCGATTCACTGCTGGCGTGTTACGATCGCACGATCTTGATAAGGACACTCTGTGAGGGATCTGGATGGGATCATTGATGGATTCTCGGTCGTAAATACCTTGGAAGTTAATGAAACGTTCGTTAGTTGCCTCTATAAAATATTAAACCTCGTCAAAGATATAAGAACATACGTAGGCGTATGAATGGAATGATCATGGGAGCTTTGTTAAAGGATCAATAAGTAGAAATGATGAATTGACTTGTCTGGAAGTGGTATTTCATATGAGCTCGATCTACCAAAAGATAGATCGAGAATATCGAGGCGTTATCGAAAGACCGAGGAATGTTTGGAGAACAAATAACGAGCGGATGAGCCTCTCAAAGGACGACTTCGAAAGAAACGGTCAAGGAGTTACCGTTAAATAGATTAAAACGATGTCTACGAAATTTTCAAGAATTCGCCCACTTTTATCGTGAGTGTTTTAAAAAACGCCAACGAACTGGTTTTAATAATAGTTCAGAGAGATCGAAGGCGTGCTTCTTCGATCGAAGTTTGATCGAACAACACTTTCGGGTATTCCGTTTCTTCTGGAACCACGTTTCGAGCCCGTCTTTCCGGCGACGAGACAGCTTTTTACTCGGCCGGGGGCCGCGGATAATTGCGTGAAAACGAGCCGCTTCCTCGAAAGCTCCCTCGTGCACTGATTCCGTGCCACTTCGTTCGACACGCCGACTGAAAATAGCACGGGACTAAAAATAATCGGATCCAAGCGCTGCCCGTCCCGTCCGTCCGTCCCTGACGCGGGGTCACGATCTACTGGACACCCGTTAGAGACACACACGCGCGGAAAACTGGACGCCCTCGACGTTTATCAGGTGTCGAACGGGAAATACCCTGGGCTGGATCGTCACGGTGAGAAGACGCAGAGTTCTTTGAGTGTTCGATACAAGGTTTTTTTTCGGATTGATAAACACCCACGGCTCCTCGAGTGAGTTTTGCGCGTTTGAATCTCCGCGAGAAGAGTGGGTTTTAGACGATTATTATTATTATCTCGGAGTAGTAATAATAATTATGTAAAGTAGGCTCTAAGAATTATTATAATAATAATTATTATTTTAGATTAGTATTATTACTCTAAGATAATAATAATAATCGCCTGAACCCCATTCCTAGAGCCTCCTTTAGACAATTTTTATTATTACTCCGAGATAATAATAATTATTATTATTAGAGTAATAGTAATAAGTGTCAGTAGAACTGACTCTCTCAGCCTGATGCAGGAAAGAGTAATTTACCTTTAATGATTCTGTTCAGTGAATCCATCTGAAAATCAATTCGATCTTTCTGCTTGCGCATCGAAATTATTTAATGCACTATTGGACAAAAATGTGGGACCAGAGTTCATAATTCGTGGAATATTAACTCATTATTCCAACGGTTTTTAAATATTCTACTTCGTGGATTACCCACTAAAAAATTTGAAACGGCGGACCAATAAACAAATTTCGAAGTTCAATCTTCTCAAAATCATAGTAGTACAATAAAAAATGTTCAGCGAGGAATCAGCACCTTCCTCTAGAAAAATCCTAATATCAGATTGACCCTTTTTATTTCGATTCGTAGAACATATACGAAACCAAATCGATTAATTTGGAATACAAGTTCAAGAAAATGATCCTAAACACGTTCACTGTCCGAATTCTATTTAAGCATTCGCCGAATAGAAAAATCGAGCGTTGATTCAATGGCAAAACGGTATAGTCCAGCAGTCGACGCGTCAAATGAACCGACAAAGTCTTCGAGAAACGAAGAGGGGGGTGGGGGGTGGGGAGGGAAAAGCGTGAACGAGGCTTGTCGGTAAATAAACGAAAAATTCGTGGCCACCCCCCGATGGGATGGTCTCTACGCGATGGAGATTCCACGGGCGTTTCTCGTGATCGAGTGAGATCGAGGGGCATCGAGGACGTAGCCCTCGAGCTCGTTGTCGACCTCGTCGTTGTATTCAGCCTCGTACGGGTCGTAGTCGTCTGCTTCTTCCTCGTCGTCGCTCTCTTTGATGATCCCGAGCCTCTTCGCGACGTTCTTCACGTTGTTGATCACCTCCTCTTGCACCAGATTGAAGCTCATCGCCAGCAAAGCGATTCCAAATAACAAGTACAACGAGCAAACCGCGATCCCTTTGTGCGCGTCGAGCTTGTACGCCGGCACGAAGTCCCCGAACCCTGGAAAACCCCGGAAAAAATCATCGATTTCTCCGACTGAACGCAATTTTTGTGAATTGTCGGAAATGATAATACGGGTTGCGACCGAGAAAATGGTGTACAAGCGAGCAGGGTAAATAATTTTACGAGAGCTTCGTTCCTGAAGCGATCACTCACCGATGGTGGTGAGGGTAATGAAGCAAAAATAAGCGGAATCGAGAAACGGCCACTGCTCCCAGGCGCTGAACAGAAACGCGCCTCCAAATATGTAACTGACCACTAGAAACACGCACAACCAGATCGGCACCGGTTTTATCGGTTGTCTATCGTCGTCTGTGGTCGTGTAATACTCATAATCGGAATCGAAGTCGTCCACGTAATATTGCCTGTGAATAGGCAGCCCCGTGGTTGTTAATATATCCTGCGGCAGTGTGTCTCTTCTGTAGGATCGAGCTGAAAGAACGATACAAGGATCTTCCGTGATCGATGCTCCACCATTTCGAAACGGACGAAAGGATTATGAATAATTTTATCTGTCGAGAAATCGATAGTCTCTGAGAGACTGTGAACTAGGAAGTGAATCTACATGCTAAAAGAAATGAAATGTGTTAGACAGGTTATACATGTGAAATTGAAGTGAACGTGTTTCGTTAATCCAAGAAAGACTCGATACTCTATATTGTTCTTATCTTTTACTATACTTATACTGTACTATAACGTTTATTTTACTTGCATCCTGTAATTTACCTTTATCTGCGTGAAGTTAGCTCTCCATTTTGTGAAAAATTAAAAAATGATTGTTGTACTATTGAGAGTTTTCTAAAATTCAAAACCGTTTTCGAAAAAAGTGGAAACACAATTTCGATGATAGCTCCTTTTTCAAAAAAATCGTTCTTCTCGATTGTACTGCATTGTACCAGTTTTACCTAGCACTGTACCGTTCAAAAAAATTGTTTAACAAACTATGGTTTCACGTTTATACTTTCATGTAACAAAAGTAACTTTCCATAAATAAATGTATATCACACATTGTATTAAATTCAAGTTGGACGATATTGGCGGTCATTTTAGTTCGTTCGTCCTTCGTAACTCGACAATATGTACCATTTATAAATCGGATAATATCTTTCTTTTCCTCTGAGAATCAGGAATTCGATTGATTTCATGAATGAATTATTTGCTAGACTCACCAACGGGATAGTTGCTTCTGTAGCGTCTGGATCTCATCGACGGAAGCCTTCTAGTGTTCTCCATCTCGAAGTAAGTAGGCGAGGGGCGCAGGGGCGACGCTAAGTTCGATTTATAGTTTGTGGTAGCACCCTCGACCGACAGACACCTTCTGGGCAATGATCTTGTAGTGTACGGAACTTGTTTCTCCACCTGGTCCACGTTTCCAGTTGCTTCCACATCTTGTGCTTTGCTAGAGTTCTCCATTGTTGATCCTCGAATGATATTAAATACTAGTTTAGAAATTCTGTTTCATTTTCTTTTGATATAAACTATTAAATGATGAACTCAACAAGAGTCACTCGTAAATCAAATGCATTTTACTTCTACCTCCGGCGGACGTTTGCCATCGTTGCAACTCGTTCTCAAGATCGTCCAGAGCGTATTTGTTGCACAAAACCGGCGAACGATCCGTGTCGTTCGGCGCACGATTCATCACCAGCCTTCTGTCCAACGATTGCGTCATCTTGGGACTAGCTACATAATGTCGTTAATTATTACAGAAGAAAAATTCAAGAAACACCGTGCACAGTATTCTCTCTCCTTTTTCACTGAATCCTCTTTATATTGTAAAGAATAGAATTCGGTGATTTCAGTACCTGTGGTTGCCTTGGGAGGCTCGACAGGTAAATCAGAGTACCGAGAAATCGTCGCCGATTTGAATCCTATATTCGGACTTAGATTCGAGGCTCCAGGTGGCTGGAAAGACGGACTCAGCCTCTTGTTCTCCGTGTCCTCGTAGCGTCGAGAATTATACCTCAAGTAAAATAAAGATACATTTTGTTACGTATATTCGTCAAAATTCCGTTTCACTGTCTGACATCTGGTGCCACGGGCAATTGCACTTCTTTCACGGTTTTTAGTTTTTTCAAGGTCAATGCATCTTTTTTTTAATACCATCATGTTATAGGTAGTTGAATTAGAAAAGGATGCACAGACCTTAAAAAACTGAAGGTCACTTTGATGTCTAAAGAAAATAAAATATAGAAAAATGAAATTGTATCCATCCGATGCGTCCCTTAAAATGTTAGATAATTCATAAAACTGTTTTCTCATACAATCAATAGGTAACAAGTAATTTTAGATAGTTTCATATTGACTCACCCTGTATATGTATTTTTTCTCTTGTATTCTGATGAGAATTGCCCCCCATCTTCCTCTTTGTAAATAAAAAAATAAAATATTCATACTTGCTGTCCATATCGGAGAACGAAGACCTCGTCATGCATTCCGACAGGCCCAGAGCCGAATCGGCGGACCTCTGGCTGACTCTGATGGACCGTCGAAAGGCACCTCTACTTCCGCCGTATCGCCTTCCAGAGAAATTTCATTCTCGTTAGATATTACGTAGGTAAATTTGTCATATTTCTCGCGGATAATTACCCTGGTTGTCGGACGGAATACGATCGACCGAAATGGGGTCTGGTTCGTTTCTTTTTGGGTGGTTTCGTGCAGACGTAACAGCAGACCCTCCAATACAAGAATCTGGAAGGTAATAATAGCAATACATAATTTTCTTTCCTGTTAATGATGCCGATACTAACCTACGAAATACATGTAACAGTTTGTTAGTTTTTAATTCTTAGTACATAAGTCATTTTTCTCTTGTATCTGTAATAGATAAGTATCAGAAATGGGAAAATTCCTTGTTTAGATAAAAAAGTTTCGAATAACGAATTAAACATATAAAAGTCTTCGTCATTTTCAATCGTTTAAATGTGGAAATTGCGATTCTTATAATATACATAATACTTCTTCTTGAATGAGACGACATTTGGCAAAGAATTGTTAAATTATACTCCAATAAATAATGGAAATTATAATAAATAAGTGAGTTGTTCGTGCATGAAATTGCATGCAGAAGATTACCTGAAACTGGAGGCCATGATGTCGCCGATGTTCGAGAGGCATAGCAGCATCAGGGGAATCCCCAAGATGGCGTAAAATATGGTCACCACTTTCCCGTTCTTGGTCTTCGGAGCGATATGGCCGTACCCTACCGACCAGGAACGACGAGCTCGATTAGCCTTGCGTAATGTCCCGCTTGCGTGAAGTCTATTTAATTGTCAATCGAGTCGCAGACCGAGAATTTAAACGAGCTACTCTCTTCGGAAAGTCAACGACCCTTACGGGAGTATTGTCGAACAAAAGGATATCTCTGTGCGCAATTCCCTCTCGGAAATTTTCGTCGGGATACAAAACGGAATATGAAACATTTCATCTTGCCCTGTCCATGAAATATTCCATAATGTTTCATATTTCAGTATTTTACATGTAATTGTTCACGTTCGAACGTTTCGTGTGTTGAATTTCACATTGGAGCTTAATTACCCTTAAACATTTTTTCCCATGCGAACAACAATAAAGCGTTTATTTGAAATATTTTTGCCTTGGGCGAGTACAAGTCGATTCACAGACGAAAAATTACCATTTTCTACTTTTGACAATATATTCGGGGTACACATCCAAACACAAGGTTTTCAGCTTTTTAGTCTATGGATCATTATTAATATTAATTAAGAAGCGCCGTTGAATTTCATCGCGGAAAAAAGATGATGTTTACCTTGGTTCCTGAAAGGTAAACGGCCTCTGGACAATTTCGAGGCACGAACACCTACGAAAGTGAAATTGTACAGTGTGTGTGTAAATTACTAAACAAGCAAAACTTATAGAGTCCATGAAAGTCGTCGAAGCCAAGGTCAATATTCGGAAGTGGCGAGGTCTGGTCTAACCATTTCGCAACGGCTTCGAAAAGACGACGTTCTCCGCCTCCGAGGATCGTCTACAGTAGTCTGGGTCAAGGTCGTCCGGATTCGGTCTTCGAGTCATTCTTTCGATTAACATAATCCTACATCCGTCCGGTTGCTAGTTCCTAATCACGTAACATTTCCGACAATCGTTTCAACGTGTGCATAAATCCCCATGATATACCTAATCTTTGATCTGGAGACGAAGAATTAACCCTTCTCACGGAGGGGATATTAACCCTTCTTCGTAAATGGGGGCAGCAGTGACTCTCCCCAAATATTTGAAAATTTATGTAATCCTCTATTACTTCGTCAAGTTTTTAATGTTGCAAAGAAAATTCGTGTGCACTTACCAGTTCCAGAAAATCATCCGAATTTGGAAATCCGTGCAAGGGTTAAATGAAATATGTTCAACCAGATACGATAAGATGTACTTGAACTTTTAAAATGGTCCCACGTCATGGTGGACATTGTTGGAAGATTGGCAGACAGAAGGGATTCGCGAAATGGCGTTCTTTTAGCTTTCTATAACACAAGAGGAGCCCCTTAAAACGACTCACGCGTAAGGACCTAATCTATATATCGAGAATAGACGGTTCGATGGGAGTAATTTAAAAGTGAACGGTGAAAAATGGACGAGATAGAACGCATCCGGCGGGCCGAGGATCGATCGATCCTGCACAAAACCAGAACGGATGTTCGAGCGGCTAGTTTGATTTCGGAATGCAATTCGGTCACGTGGTCCATTTTATCGTTCTCCTTGCGTTCGCAATTTTTTTTTTTTATTTATTTTAATTTTATTTTTTATTTCATTTCATATACCATTTTTATTAACCCTTAACGGTCACACCAAAAAAACCCCAAAATTACTCAAAAGTTCAAGCGTCTACTTTGCTCGGTTGCCGGAAGGAAACTGATCTGTTGCGGGGAATATCTGGGATCTGGTCATAAAAGGGGTTCTGAAACCGACTAACAAATAACCGGTTAAGTTCTATTTTCAAATAACAAGTTACAGAAAATTTAGCCCCAAATTGCCTTGGGGTCAAACAGACCCGGTCTGATGTTACTGCATCGAAAGAAGGTGGTCTACAAAACGAGGGAAACAGCATTGACACGAATCGGTTTTCGCGTAGTATACAAAAGAACACGTAACAGGACCGACGTAAACGCACTTCTTGCACGCGATCCACGAACGTTACGCACACGGTCCCACGTGGGTGGATCTTACATGGGAACTGCACGATCACGGGCTTGTCCTTCGCTCTGGGAAAATCCCTGACTGCGAGGAGAGGGGACGAACCCATTACAGGTGGTTCTCTGGCCTCTTTCTTTAAATAAAATCAAGCGAAATGTCGTAATTCCTTCGCGCGGAACGAGTCGTGTCCACGGCTCGAAGGACGTCTACATTGTTCGCACGTCATTAGGACCGAACGAACCACGAACGAGCTTTTTATATCTAGGAAAAAATGAACAGACTTGGTGTGTCCAATAAATTAGAGGGTCGTTGTTATATATTAATACACTAGGGGACTGATTATAAGGTTTCTGAACCCATTCTTCAATGAATCTTCTAACTTTCCAAACCCTCTTTCTCTATATTTTTTCCTTGACCTTAGATTACTAAACTATCATTTAATTACGACGTCGAATTCGCAATTCAATGTTGTGTCAACGTGTGTGCAGTTTGTACTGAATAATTACTCTCTTACATTTTCATTATTTTTAACTTAAATAAAAATACAGTAGACTCTTGACATATTTCCGCGGTCGGGGCTGTGGGAGAGTAAAATTCTCGCAATTGGCAATATATCGAGAGTCTACTGTAATAATTTTCTAAAATATTACGTGCTTTCTTCCAGTCGTACTTTTTACAAATGATTAGTAATAACGTAAGGATACTTTAGTAATCTATAGTTGGTCACCCCGTCGAGCTTATTTCCAGCTGATTCACCGGTTCGTTATCAAATCATTCGCTCTTTTCGGTTACTTGCTCAAGAACACATTGCACATTGACACCACGATGAAATTGTAATAATCGTTCTCCTGTAAAAAATTTCACTTCCCTCGAAAAGTGGCCACCATTCGCGGAGCAATAAAGAAATTACAGACACGGTGTGCTCGGTCGCCTACGAGAGCTAGGAGGTGGAGATGGAGGAAATCGTATCAGAAGTCGGTGGGGTTCGAGCAAGAAATCTTTGATAGGTCGAAGGAAAATGGTCGGCCACTCGGTCCCCGTATAATTTTATTTCAGGGGCGGGCGAACGTGGGTGGCGACGATCCAGGCACGATCAAACGGTCTCCATGGCAGAAAATTCAATGATCAAGGTCATTTTCAGCGGTCGTCGATGCTCCAACCCCCGGGAAATTCACTTTTCCGCCGCGAGGGAAGAAGTTACGAGCGCGTTTCCGCTCCCTTTCTCTCTTTCTCTCTCCTCATAATTCGCTTTTCCGGATTTCTACATGCTTCTCACGTGACGATCTCGTCGATTAACCTTACCCCCTGTGGTCCGGGGTGAATCTTCTTTTTATCCACGGAATTAAACGAAAAACCGACGACTGCGATATTAATGTTCCTCCTGGGAGTGAATTTTCTTTCGAACGTTCGAGACAACATCGAGGGTATGTTTGTTAACGAGCGGAAAATGTACCTGGAATATCCAGAAAGACGATCGAATAGTATCCACTTCCTCTTGATCCATAGATCAATAGCCATCGAAGGGATCTCCAAGCGAAAGGAAACAGTATTTCCATTTTCCCAAATAATGATCGAATAATATCTACAGAGAAGGGTTAAAGGACGGAATTATATCACGAGAACTGTAGATTCATAGATCACCATTGAATCTAAGAATTTATCTAAAAAATAATCAAATTGTATCCAGAAGGTAGGGTTAAAGGGTGGAATTGTATCGCGAAAATTGTTGATCCATTGATCGCAATCGAAGGGACCTCGAAGCGAGCCACGCCGGTGCGTTCACCTTTCGACGATGCATATATAAAGACCGCGGATTCACTTTCACTCTCGTTTAGTCGCGCGCCAGTGATATTCGGTGGTTGTGAAGCTGACCAGCTCGTTCAGAGACTTCGTGAAACCGTATTTTCTTTTTTATCCTACGATCTAAACTTACTGGCGAGCCGCCTGACAATGAAGAGCCTGATCATCATCGTCGTCTGTTGCGTGGGTGCTGTCGTCAGCGACGAAAATGACGGATGGGTTTGGAAAGACGGCGATCGACCGGCCGAGAAACGACTCGACGAGAAAAGGTGTGTCTCCTGTCTCGAAAATCTTGACCGAATTGTCATCGTGAACGATCCTCTCGTGGATCGAACGAAATGATCACGATTACACGTGGTAACACACGTAAGCGTCGGGCATGGACTTTCGTTTCGATGTCAGATTAAATATAATAATAATAATATATTTCTATGGGACCAAATCCCGTGGAATTAGAAAAGCATTACACAAGTGACAGACCTGCAAAGCTACATGTTGTGACGAATATAATACGAATAACTAATTGCAATTTGGTATAAAAGCAATATTTTTGTAGTTTTGAATACGTCAACTTGATTGATATAATTGTTGCAATTATTGGAACACAAAAAACGGAATTAGAATTCGATATTGAATATAGAAATATAGGTGGCAGAATGAAAAGAAAAAATATTATACAGGTGTGTAGGTTTGAATATAGAAATGTAGATGGTAGCATGGAAAAAGAATATTGTCCAGGTGTGTGGCCTCGAAGTTACACGGAGTGCTTGAAATAAATAATTTGTACCAAATTGTAACGATAAAAGAATTAAGCGGAGAATTGTTACTATTTCTCTGCGTTTCTTTTTAACTACCAAGTGAACGAGAACCTGGAAGATTTCGACGAGAGACCTTTGACAGGATTTAGGCCACAAAACACGGGACCTTACGGTCCTAACAGTAGACCCATTGTGCCAGCATCGTATCCTGGCGACAAAGGAGTTCTTGTCGGTCCTGGCGGGCCAACGGGCATTGTAAAAAGGTATTCGTATATCTTCACGTTGCGTTCCGACCCAATAACTTCGTTTCTACGTCACGTGTCGTCCAATGCTCGATTGGCCAATGTAACATTTACCTTTGGAATAACAAGAGTTGAATTTGAACAGATTTTCGAAATTACAGGCCGCCTTATAACGGCGGTGTCGTAGACGGGGGCTCGTTGAACTCTGGTATCGTGCCATCCTGGATCAGAGACGATCCTCGATACCGCGAGATCGACACTTGTAGATGTAGATACAGCTTCAACTGTCCGTCCAATGGATTGAAATTCGTGAGTATCGACCGACCAACGCGTGTTTTATACAATTTAAAAGGTATTCAATAGGATTTCCACTTCCAGGGAAGTTGCTCGAGAGATAAGAAATACTGTTGCTTTAGCAGCAGAAGATATCCAGCCTTGGTCTCTGGACCGTCTGGAGGAGGACACTATCCTTCACATTCGGTACGTCGAAAATATTGTCAATAAGTGACTGACAATAATAAATGTAACACTCTAGACGTGATAGCGAATAGTGTTAATAATTAATCACAGTGATTAAAAATAATTTTTCTCTCTCTGTTCGTACCGTACGGTACTTCAAACGATTTGAATTTATATTCCAGGGTTATCCGAATAAATATGGACCACAAAGCTTCGTCCAATCGCCGAATTATCACGGTAATCGAAGACCTCCGGGAAATTTCAACGCTGGAAACAGATACCCCACAGGAAATTACCATTATCCGGGGCAGAATTACGGCCAGTATCAAAGACCGCATGGAAATCCTTATGAACAGGACTACGATTACGATGATTTCGACTTTTACAGTCGATCTTTGAAGAAGAATGAAACGGAAACGAGTTCCGATGAGAAGCCTTGAATTACCTTTTAGTTTCCTCTATCGGGACATTTTTGTATTATTTCTTTTTTTTTAAACGACTGATCTGCGCTTGCTATTGGTGTAAAATGGCGCAGAATGGCGGATACCAACGTATTAGAATATGAAAAGAAATTGGTTCCTCGGTGATACACCTAATAATTATGTTATAAAATTATACACAGTGGTCGGTAACCAGTGCTACAACTGGGAAGGGGTGATTCTACATAAAAAAATAAGAAAATATAGAATACAACTTTTTCATTTGAGACTCCGTATTTTAGACAATCTTCGTTTTTATTTCACATATTCGACTTATTTTTTTATGTAAAGTCACCTCCTTTTCGGTTGTACCACAAGTTACCAACCACTCTGTACCCATATCGGCATAAATTTCGTCACGTTCCTAGTTTTTTAGGGACCAAAATGCATCGCATCGTGTTTTTTCATATTTCAACTGTCATTTAAATTCGTTCGACAAAACCACCGATTCTAATCGATCGGTCGAAAGTAGATTGAAAATCGAAGAGAAAATAGTTTTAGTTAAACGAAAATACCAAAGAACGACGTGTATTTTCCTTGCGTCGGGTATACGAAACGTGTATGTATTATCTAGAGATGTTTGATAATAAAGAAGTGTGAAATAAAGTTGAAAAAAATATAATTTGCAAGGTGGAGACTCACCGATCGTTGTGATAACCACGATCGAGTAGAATAAAGCACCAGCGAACGTCCATTGAATATCGTCCTCGCCCTCTCTGCCGTCCCACCCTTCCTTCTCCATCATCCACACGAGGTTGTTCTCGAAGCCCTGCTCGTAAAAATGATCGACATTTCGACGAGAAGATAAAAGTCATAACGAGGGTAATCGTAACATTTAATGTACCTTCAACTCGCGCAACGCCTTGTCTGTCCAATTTTCGCGAATCAGTACCTCGACCTCTTTTGTGATCTTCCATAACTGCTCCGCCACGTTTCCTCTTATGTCCTTGATACTCTTCTTCACCTGAAACATGATCGAAATGTTATTGATGTAAATTCAACCGTATTATTCGTATCCCCCCTGCAAACGTTTTGATAATAATCGTAGTAATAATAGTATATCGCGATACAACAATAAACGAAGGTTGGCCAATATTGCTTTAAGGTTGGCCAACGATTTTTCTTAGTCTGTCAACATGTACCAGTCATTCTCCACCAGTATTAACCCTTTAACGCCCAGATATTTAAACTGCTACTTCAAAATGATAAGACTGATATATATGTTGTGTCTTGTTACTTTAAAATAAAAAAAATTGATTTTAAAATGACATATTCTTTTTAGGGAATACTTCAAAAGGAATAATTTCAAAAAATGATCATACCTCTTTTTCGTGGGGCGATTCCAGCGCCTCGAAAGCGTACGCGCCGATGACACAGTACATCACGACCAACGAGACCAGAAACACGTGGGAGAAAACGCATCTGAAGAATTTCCAGAGGAAACGCAGGAACCTAATGCACTTCGATGATTTCCCGGTCTCCACAACCACCTCGAACGTTTCCTGTCGCGGACGTGCCATCCTGATTTTCGGCTCGAACCAGTAACCCTTAAATTCCTTTTCCCCGCGACCCCATGCACACCGTCTAGCCTTTAATATTTTCAGAAGTTTGTCACTTCAGGCCACGGCCGTATAAGCAATTACTCCCACTATCACGGTGCATTCTGTAAAAATCAAACACAAACAAGGATTTCGTCCATCGAAACGATTCGTCGACGAATGTTTCTCTGGTCCACGAAAAAACGAACACGTGTGTGCACTGTTCTCGATCCAATCGATCGCATGGCTGTTAATTCATATATTCTCACGTACGTGTAAATGGTCACTAAATGAGCTACAGCCTCAGTTCCGTTGATTAGTTTGACTTTTATTGTACTGGGCTCGTACAGTTCTCCATATCGCGACGTCGACGTTCAGGAAACGAGCCTCGACGCGAAACTGCTACGTATATACGTTAAATACAGGCGTGTTTCGTCCGAGATTGGTGTTCCAAATTTATCCCGCCTCCGCCACCGGCGAAATTTCGTTCCGAGGCGAACGTTTACCAGTGGTCCGCCTACGTCCGCACCGGAAAATACGAGTTTCTTGTACCTCGGTTGCTCTGGCTCGACCCCTATCCTTCACTCCTTCTGACTTTTAAAAAAAATAAACAATCGTGTAGAGGTTATCCGTGATTTAAGCGGGTATAATGGAACGTTGATTATTAATTATAACGAATTTATCGTTCGAGGAAGAGTATACTGAGTGGGAACGAAAGGGGAGCTTGTGAAGAAAGGTGTTTGTTGATCATTAGACCGAATCTACATAAGACTTATTTTGGTGCATGATGGTTCGTTCACTTCAAACTTTCGTTTGCGTGTCTCTGTTTTCAATTGAACAGACGGGTACCATTTAATATGCTTTTAATTAAATGTTCTTCGTCCTGGTGCCATACGTAGGGCAAGTTTCAATGTGAATGTTTATGATGATCTTTAAGCTTAAGTAAAATTGTAAGAAAATTTTGTTATTTTAATTGTAAAGAAAATTTTGTTATTTTGTAATTCATTTTAAATTATTGCTGATCTTCTGGCGTACCTACGAAAGATCAGTTCGTTTTTATCTTTTGTTGGGTGTCTAGTCTACCGATACTAGTTCCCTATGTTACCCACGAGTCTTCAAAACGGACTGCGATGACTGTGATCACCGACTAGGTGTAGAGTAAACCTATCATACGATGCTTTTTGGGGCTACATAGCCCCCTTACCATTTTACATAGTGCCAATACCGGACAATATCAATAAAGCATGAATTCACTGTATTCTTAGAACGAATGGTGCATTACGTGCTGCGTTTATGTTATTATGTGTATCTCATACGATTTAGTGGGAACAAATAATATGTACCAGATTAGTTTAAAGTTTTAAAAGATGACTGTAACACTTATGAAACACCACACCGACAATATGTATATGTAGTTCGTCACTTATTTAGAAGATAACTTATGAAATGTCGATTTTTTAAAAATTCTTTTGTGAAAATATTCTCGTAAAAATCGTCCCTTCATTGATTTTCATAGCATATAGAGCAGCAGAAAATCTCTGATGTTTCTGCATGGTCCGCATTTCAGAATATGAAACATGGAGTCCCATAAGATGGTAAATCAATTCTATACCTTGTCTGAGGTGTAAGATTAGAATATAAAATGATAATATAGCGTATTTGCTTCATGAATCAATAATAATGCAACCGACGACAGTAGCATGTACTTTCTTACAGAAGTTAAAACATTTTAAAAGACAGTTTTTCTACTTCTTTACCTTTTTTCTATGCTTATTCATATATTTTGAAGTCATATGTCCTTTATCCTGTATCCACAGATATTTACTGCCATCAGATCCGAAATCTGCCAGAGAAGTTTTTCTCACTTTTGTCGTTCAAAGTGTATTCTCACAATTACTATACTTGTACTTTCTATTTTTATTTGACCGTTCAATGTGTTCGTTGCAGCCCACACCCTTCACAAACGTACCATCAAGGGTACATTGGAAAAAGTGTAATCATAAAAATCGCCTATTATTTCCACATGCCAACGGGAAAGAACGTTGTTTCCTTAAAGGAACCATAGGAGACTCGGGGTAACGCTTTTCTCGTAATAGTTTATTAATATCCCAACCGACTCTTCTGTGCGTGTATGTATGTACAATTGTAAAATGAAAAAGTCGATCGTCGACTGAGCTGAGAAGGCGCGTCCAACGATTTTTAGGCACTTCGACGTTCGGTTTCGTCCGATAAGCATAAAGAAACGCCTCCACCGCAAGGCAAATATTTTCACTTCTTAATTAAACAATGAAAACACACCGTCTACAACGCGGTCTCTCACTTCACCGATTCCCAGACAACGCGAGCGAAACCGAGCGTGTTAAATCTTCATTCTAAACAGGAATATATCATCAGTCTGATCATTGCAACCGGTCCACCGTGGAACAATGATGCGCGATCGATCGTACAATAAAAAGGAAGGAAAAGTACAGAAAGAAGAAATAACACACCCTAAACGATCAGACGGAACACGCATAGGCTACTGTGCGAGCATAAATATTCCTCGTAGAAATCGATATATCGATGTCGTTCGAAGAATAGATTCGACGTCATTTTTAACAATAATATTAACATCATGGTGGAACGTCAATCGCGCTCTCGCCATCTCGTGGAGGAATGGTTTCTGCGACGGTCGAGCGAGCCGATCGTATCGCGTAGAAAGCGATCGAGGTTCACCATGCCAAAAAAAAAAAAAGAAAAAGAAAAAAGAACAGACAGGAAAGCCTGAGTCGTTCCACGGATGCACTTTCGTTGCCTGCGTGAAATTACGTGGTCTCTCGATTGTCCATGGAACAAACATAACTGACTTCACTCTGGTGAATTCAAAATGGCGGACTAACGACTTCCGTATCGTCTAAAGTTTCGATAGATAGAGATTCATGGAGGTCAGAGAAATTAACCATCTCTATTTTGAATTAAAACTGTACACACATGGAGTTTAAATGTAAATTGAATCGAATAAATAACGAGGACAAGGGGAAATATACATATACTTCATTCTGAACTAGTAGAATCTTGAGTAACCTTGAATTGGGACTTACAAATAGTATGTCAAGAGTCACCAGAGCGTTTTCGAAGTCGACTAGATTTGTTCCACTGAGCGCAGTCATTCGTCGATGATCAATTAACAGACGACGGATCCCTAACGGAATTCCTGTAAGGCCTTGGTGTCTAGAACTTTTCGAAGCCCGTGCACATCGACGTGATTTATTTCGTGCAGTTCTCCGCCATTACGTGACCGAACTTAATCGAGCCGACCTGTACATCCCTGGAACAAGTAGCTTTCGCAACGCGTGGACGTAGGATCATGGGGACGAGGTGCAGCGTTTGACTTACAGAAAGCTCGATTAACCACGCCACCGATCGCAGACTCGAGGTCGTCATTTTGGTGACCATAATTACTTTATATATTGTCTGATTGTCAAATGATTGACAGGCTACTCTTTAAGGCCACTTTATAGTTTACTTTTCACAAAGAATATTGCTTCTTTGCATTAGGACTCATGTCCCAAAAGGCACCTGACCCAAATTCATCAAGTTGTACACTTTTGACCTTCGAGCGATCGAAATTCATTTATTCTAAGGTCTCACTTGGTCTTCATGAATTCGACGGAATCATATTGACGAAATTTGGAAAAAAATATTGACATTCTAAATGATCGGTATATAATATGTGCAGGTAAAATTAGCGATGAGCTGAGCTAGCGTTCAGCTAGCATGACTCATGTTCGAGGTAAATATTAGTCCTGGCAGAACGTTTTCGAGCTCCTGCAAACGAAATTCTCCTAATGACTCCGAGTGCAGCATAAATAAGATATTTTGAAAACCTCGGGACCACGTCCGATCGTAAAGAAACTTCCAAGAATATAATCTTCTCCGTTGAATCATCGAAAGTGAACGATCGGTAGCGTGGTTTCGCGTTACATCCTTCCCCGTTTCCCCAAGCCCATCCAATCGTCTCTCCTTCCTTCGTTATCTCCCGATAACAGTCCCCGGAGACCCGTTTAGTGGGACCACTTCCACCCGCCACGAGGAAAAAAACACACAGAACCGAAACGCTATGTATACTGCGAGTTCTAAGTCTTCGTACAAGGCTAATCTAATACTAAGGATAGTCTCGATAAAAACACTGTCGACGGTCGTCGATAAATGCATGCTCGCGAGTCGATATATAGTTAACAACGAACGCTGGGACAGAAGACATATCGTGGATCGATCCCTTCCTTTCTTTCGTCTGTAAAAAAATTACGAATTCTTCACTCGAACGATGCACGATGCGAATCGATCAATTCTAGGACGAAAGAATGGCTGGACTCGGTGTACTATCGATAAAACAGATATAGTCTTGTCGTATAGTCGAAAAACGAAATATTAACCGACGCTTCAAAATTATTTCGCAAAAATATTTTTGTACCTTGGATCGTTTTTCATTGAATACGGTCATGAACCTTGTAATTTCATCTGTCCAAGGATTTACTCCACGATCATGCTATATCCTTTCCATCGACCGTACAATCGAGGCACTCGAAAGATTCTTGTCGTTCACAGTTACGCTACGGTTTATGGCTAGAACGGCAAGAAACGAGAATCTTTGGAGCAGCTTGTATAAGCTTACATAATCAGCGCTGAAAATAGCAAGGACGATCCTCGTGAATTACCCCCGATTTTTCGCGATTGGCAAATCGAACCTAGTTTCGTAAAAGTCTCGATCGCCGACGATGGCGTTGTGCAAGTCCAGGGAATCGCCCCCTCGCGCTTCACGATTTTTCCAGCGTAAGGAACGCTCGCACCACTTTTTCACGAATTAAATCGAAGTACCAAGTTTGTCGATAAATCGATCAAATATTCGATAATTGACAGATCGAACGGACTTCACAAGAGAATTCAATCAGACCGACAACTTTCACTCTCGACGGTACATCTCGAACGGTACCGATTTCACAGATCATGAGATTTTTGTTTGTCCCTCGAGTGGCACAAATTGGAAAATTAGAGATCTATTCTACTCTACGATTTATCCTAATCGTGTTCGTAAGTTCCATTCAGTCGTCACACACAGCCTTTTCGAATTTCGAACTTGTCAATAATACGTAGCTTCTTTTTTGCTCGTCGATTTGGCTTATAAAGAGATGACATTGTCTCGAAAATATGGAAGAACGCATTCAAAGTATACCTCTGAAAATTTTACTGGACAGATATCAATGTGTTGTCGATAGAAATCGAAAAATTGTTGCTATTCGATCAAAAAGATTCTAAATTCATGGTACCAACGCTCGTCCAACAGTCTTGATCGTCTACTGACAATTGCGACGTAACAGTATCCATTCATTCGTAATAAGAACAGACCAAATGTGAAGGATAACGATGTCTCGAGTGACGAAACAATCGTACACTCATAAGTCCATCTCCTTAATAAATTACTCTTCCAATGAATACTCTCAAAGCCACTTACTTCCATGTAGCAGCCACATTGCTTTCAGCCTAGATCCATCCTCATTCCGAACGATCGAGACATCGCTGACCATCAACCAATCACGTCCACATATCCACCTCCATCGTTATCTCATCATTCAAAAACAAACAACTCTTCCATCATCGCTAACCGTTCAATAAAAAAAAAAAACGTATAACGAAGAAAGTGACAAAAGGTGTCCAAGTCAGAGTCGAAATTCAACAAACGTCCTACGATTCTTCGAATCGAAGCAAGCATATAGCTTCTCGAGTCGTGGGAGCACGACGGTTCTGGATCCGTTTTCAAGTGAGCTCGAGAAAACCGTCGAGAAAGTGGGAAAGGAACGACAGAGGGCGTGGCATCAAGCCTGGAACCCTCAGAAAGGACTCGGTCCATCCTCGCGCTAGCTCGGCCCAAAGAAGCCAAGGGTCTCCAGTGTCCTGGTAACCCTTTCAACCAGCTGATCCTTGTACCGCCATATCGTCGTGTCCAGGATACTGTTCTCCCTGTACTCGACGCAGGTTTTCTTCAACGATTTCACACAGTCCGCGCGATAGTGTTGCAGCTGAGCATCCTCAGTCTCGATCGGGTAGCTGGTGCATCCAGCGCCCAAACAAGCCAGCGGAAAGTGGTTATGCAGCGTGACTACCCTCTCCGGATTGTGGAAGCACTTGATGTACTGATTCGGCTTGGTGAAGTTCTTCGAGCGGTACACGTGCTGCAGCATATGCATATACCTGTGGACAAGCATACTCTGTCAATTGAAACGTGTTTTCAGGTGCAGTCGAAGGCGGATCTGTCGCTGATTAGCCCTTGGAGGATTTATGATAGAGTCTTGAAAGATGATACACGAGACTGAACAGACCTGGCGTCGCATGGTGGCGGATGAAGGCGTTGGGTTCTTCGACTATCGATGACGTGGAGGATTATTTGTGTGATTAATAGATGAGGGAAAGTGGCAAGAAACTCGATATTGCTTGATGATAGTGATTCCTGGAGGATTTGACAAAGAAGCGGGGGTGGCAAGAGGATTGTGATAGACCACACAGTAGTTAGCCCAGAATCTCTAAGAGTTCATAGTGAAAATCAAGGCTAATACTTGTAATATATTATTATTGTATGGAAACTCTGTACGTTCGAGATTCGGAGACCTTCGCGAGTTGCTACTGGGGACAAAAACCCAAGAATGTCTTTCCAAAAATCCCAAGATACGTCGAGGTATTCGGAGAATTTCTCCGAAAGTATTCAGGACGACGCCTGCCTAGTCTCGAATTTAACGGAAATTCACCGATCAGGAATAGATTACGGCGACACGTAACGGATCGTTCACGAGGTTCACGGTTACTCCCGTGCCTGTAAACTCTCCAATTCGATGCTCGAACAGAGAACCCGATTGAACACGAGGGATTCGTAAAAATTTTCTTTTTTTTCTTTCAATCAGCGGCTGTCCAAGACACTGAGTATCTAGTGACTCATCTCCAGGATCATTAACATGTTACGTTAAACGAAGAATGTAAGTGGAAGAGGATGAGAGGAAGCCGGAGGCCACGAATTTATGTCTTCCGCGGGCGCTCGACCAATAACTCTCCTCGTCGTGAAACCCGTTGGGGGATCGTACTCACTTCGGTATGTCCTTGAAGTAGCCGTGGGAGTGCAACAGGTCATCCAGGAAGTAGACGTTCCGCACGTTGTACGAGGCGCGAGTCTCGTTACGGATCTTGAACGCCTTCGTCAGGACCCTCTTCATCAGGTCCTGCCAGGTGGCGTCCTGGACGGGCATGATCACCTCGTCCACGTCCAGCAACGCGATGTACTCGTACTCGTACATATGCTTGTAGAGACAGTCGTTGTACGGAATCAGTTCGTTCTGTCGTTTGTGGTTGGTCTTCTTGGTGAGATACATGTGTTGGAACGCAGGAACATTTGGCTGTCCACCGGGCAGCGTCAACGGGGTGACGTGCACCTTGCCCAGGCTCTGATAGTGATCGAGGACCTTGGTCACGTTCGGGTGCACCTGAAGCTGATAGAAAAAGATCTTGTCCGCGCCCAGGAGCGTGATCAACTCGATCCATTCGACCAGCCGGACCGATAAGTCTTCGTGAAGAAAGTCGAGTCCTTTCACGCAAACCGCAAAGTCCTTCTTACGTTCGGGCTTGTTGTAAATCACACGTAGATTGTTGCTGGGCGTGTCGCAGGGCTTCTCGACCATGGACACCGAGGCTGGCGGCCCTTTTGACCAATGCGACTGAGGCACCTTGCAGGCTATCACGTAGGGCTGATAGATCCCTTGCTTGTAGTTGCCCCACTTCGGGTACCAGATGTACTTGTACTCCAACGTCTCGACCACCCGAGGCTCCCTTTCTCCATCGTACCACAATTGACAGTGCGTCTTCACCGTGGGCTCGATCCGATCGATCATCCCGACGATTCTGATCGCAGGCCCGATCCTGGACAGCTTACGACGATCGTAGAACGCCCCGAAGAACTGAAACGTCCCGTTGCTGGTCCTCATCGTTTGCCAGTAGACGTTATTGAACTCGATGTCGTAGATAGACGGGTATTTCAGGTTCGAACAGCTGTCGTTACCCTTGGCCTTGCTCTGTCCGCTGGAATACTTGCCGTTCTTGGTCCAGTAGGCGAGTGGCAGGCTGGGCAGCCTCTGTTCGATCTCACGGATCAGTTCATCCTCTGTCTTCGCCGGTCTTTTGTCCAGCAACGGTTCTAAATCCAACGGATTCCTGGTCGGTCCATTCGAGAGGGTGGTTAAAGTCGTCAGGACACCAGAACCAGCGGAATTAGAGAAACTTGCGTCCGCTGGCGAACGTTGCAGAAGGTACCTCGAGAGGCCGAGACTGGACGAGCCACGGTTATTGACTAGGACCTCTCTGCGCCGATAAACGTCGTCCACCAGCATGTCGCTGGCCGATTCCTCGGCGGTAGGTGTCTCCCTTAGACTGTTCTCCACGTGACGGAACTGTACCGCCGCGATCATCACCAGCCCCCACGCGAACACAAAGACCAGGGCGCGTCTCGCGCATCTGGACCCACCGCCGCTGCAGTTCTGCAACATCTTCGGGGGGCTACTGTCGGTCGACTAGCTACCGCCGCGTATCGATCGAAAGACACTGTCCCTCCCTACGGTTCGACTCACGCTGACGTGCCAAGCCGCTGCGTCTGGAACAAGAACACACACCGGTCGCGATTGGATAAACGCCGGAAATCGTTCCGAACGATGTGTCCCGAAGTAGCGATGGGACCGAGCGCAACACGTGATCCACAAACCGAGTCACGTTTCAGTCACCAAGACTTAAAGGAAATTCCTGTCTTCGATGCTCTATCATCGTTAGACTATATACCAGTGTTTCCCATCATTTCAAAGACTTCAACGCCCCTCTAGCATAACAGTAAACTATATCTTGAAAAAATGTAACATTAATGACTGCTTGAAATAAAAAGACAGATAGGTAAAACTGTTGTCGATGAGGTGACGAATGTTAATGATTTGCCGATTACAGACCAAAATATTCAAATTGCCCGTAGGTGAGGCGTTCTTCCCACGTTGGGAAGCACTGGTATAAACATTATTGTGTAACAAGTGTTGTCATTTTTAATCGTAAACCTAATGAAAGTTTAAACAAAGTTATAGAAAATAATAGATAGACAACATAGGGTCGACAATTACTGACTTGTAAGTGATCTTGTGATAATTCGACAGGTGGAACGTCGTTAAAATTAGTAGAATTTTCATAAAACTCCAAGATGCTACACAGCCAAGATACAGGAGACGAGAAACCGGTGATCAAGAATCAACCGGGGGATTCTATCGTCGCGTGCTTGGTCCCATCGCTATCGCAAAGATTAGGGGTATTGGGAAAGTACTATCTTCTTTCTGGGCAGACTCCTCGAGGAGGAAGACGATAATAACCGGAAGCGTTTTCCCGTCGAGTTTTGACGCAACCGGTGAAACCGGGATCGTAATCGAAGAGGAGTTCCTCGACCGTAATCGGAATTCGAAATCGTTTTTCTCTATTGGTTAATAAGGTGATCCAACGTAGGACGTCTGAAGGCTCTTTCCTGCCCCCTCCCCCTCTTCGTTAATAAGCGTGATTACTTATGGAAACAGTGATCACTAGCCTAGAACCACAAAGAGATCACCGTGAACCAAATGCCCGACGGGGCTGAGCTGTCGTCGCCATGGATCCGTTTGCGATCACGCGTCGCCACCAATTATCCTTGACCCTTGTCGCGGATGCAAACGACTTTTCCCACTTTTCAAGCGTGCAAACTCGTATGCAGACGGTAAAAATCGACGGTGGTATGCGATAAGAGACATTGGAAACAGACGTATTGGAAATTCTGTCGGAAACGACAGTCGAACGGGTCAAGGTGGCTGCGCCATGGCGGCGCTTTCACGTAGCCAACGGGACGACTTTATTTCCATTTGTTCGTTTATTTCACGGACGGTGAAACGCGTCGCGGGTCGGTGTACTTCGTGTTATTCAGCGGATCACTGGATGCATTTATGGACACGGGCGAACGTGACGTGGAACAGACGGTGAAACGTTGGAATCTATTCAGGATCAATGACTGTTCATTCACAAATTAATTCGTGGCCCTTTTTTTATAGATTTGTTTATTTATAGAAAAAACTAAAATAGGTTTTAATCTTGAAAATATTCCCCACCACTTTCGATACATTTACGTCGTTTCTGGGGCAGTTGGCGTGTCTCCCTCGAAAAAATGATGGCGGTTTAGAGTCGATGATTCATTCTTGGGGCCACGAATTAATTTCTACACCTGATAATTCAGACCCTCGTGACCTTAGTTATTTCTACTGCTTCCGTCAAACCACATGTGTCTTTATCTCTACATCTGGCTTCTTTATCTTGTAGGCTTCCAAAAAGTTTGGAAAAATTCAGGGTTACTGTCCAGGGTCTTTACTACATGATCCAATAGTTTTCAAAGGTGAATGTTAAGAGGTTTTCGTTTAATAATAATCCTTTCGTTTTTACAATTACAAGAGATATCGAACGGGGACGGATAAATACCACTCCCCAGTATAGGTTCGTAAGTGAAACAGAAATGGGAGCAACTCTCACAACTTTCAACCGGTAGAAACTATTGTCTAGATTTAATACACTCTTAGAAATTATAGGTAATTGTTAATATCCTGTAATTGTATTTAGATCGCGGTGGAATCGAGGCGCATTCCTGGAAAGTACAATGATGCAAATCATGTGCTTCTATCGCATTACGTTATCCCGAAAGTGGAACAGCTTCAACTTCAACCTTTCTCATCGTCAAACTGATGGAGGATCACTTTTGACCCTTCATTGATTCACGACTGTCCACGAACACGAAATTCTTATTTGCTTGTCACTCGAGGATAAATAAATCTTCGCGACGTCCGAGTCGGTGTACCGTTCATTCGCTTGGATTTCATGGATCCTTGATAAATATTGATACAAGTTGCGCATAAGTAACGTTATTCGAAGCATATAGAAAACATGCAAATCGGGAAACCTGGAGGTGGACGGTGGTGGTGCCGTTACGACAAACTTTGCCAACCGTTTCAATCCCTGATAGCCCGAGGGGAAAATCGACTTCCACGTTAAAGTCGTTTATATTTTATAGATAGACTTCCCTGATAGAAGATCGAAATTCCTTAGAGTCTTTCAAACGAATTATACAAATCAGTTACGTGAAATCATTTTAGTTCGCAGAAAATTTCGACAGACATATCGAATTCATTAACACTAAAACTACGAGAAGACAGATTTTATATTTTACGATTATTGAAATTGTAATAGTGCTTTTGGCAGAATTTATATTAATCTTTACTTTTAATGTACATTTTATGCTGTACTATACTATACTAAATTATATTATATGTTATGTATATTATTATGTAATGCAATTACATTTAGTGTACATTCAATGCTTGTAATTCTAGTGTTAACCAGAGACCAACACTCTCTCCATATTCCCTTCAATTCGATTGAAACTCAACATTTAATTCTCTCAACCTATCAAGAATGTTACTCCGTTGTCGAAAATCCTGCAGTCACGTATGCAACGCGATACAGAGAAGCTTATCACGTCCCGTGAAAGCGTATTAAATGAGCGTCGACTAATTGGTAGCGTAATCAAGCTCGCGGGGTCGTGGCTACGATGCAAGATTTACCGTCGCGCACGACTATATAAATCTCTTCCTCCCGTGGTACAACCGTATCCAAAGGTTTTTTTCTCCCGCGGTGTCGTTGTAATTAGCGTTTTCAGATATGAATTATGTACATCCAGGTTCGCCTGAATGGCCTGTAAAACTGGAGCGTAAATACACCACCGAAATTGCGATTGAATCGTTTCAAGAAATTCTGATTAGATTCGTTCCTCGAAATTTAGACGATATTGAATGCAATCGGAGAAGATAATTTCTGAAAAATAAAACTATCGAGACCTAACACACATATGTAATGAAAGGAATGGAGGATATAATGACAATAAGAGCTGTTGCTTCAGGGTATTTCTGGACCCTTCAGTGTCTCTAGGTCCTAGAAGATAGAACATCTCGACTCAATCGTATAAAAAAAAGAAAGAAATAAATATTAAAATAACTCCTCGAAATGTAGACGATATTGGATGCAATCAGAGAAGATCATTTACGAAAAATAAAGTGTTCAAACAGTTATCGAGACCTAACACACAGGTGTAATGAAGGGAATGGAGGACAAAATGCATAGAGCATAGACAAAGTTGCTTCAGGGTATCTCTGGACCCTGGAGAGTCTGTAGGCCCTCTAGAAGATAGAAGACATCGCCAGTAGTGAACAATCTTCGACGTAGGGGCGATGCCCAGGTAGAGGGAGGCGCAAAAGGTGAAAAACAGTTTGCCATCAGCATAACCGGTTTCACGTGTCCCGAGGCACCCGAGCTTCTCTCTGTTTCTCCCCGAGAGGCCTGGCATGGCTCCGATGCAACGATTCGGCCGAACGGGCTTTTCTTCGCCAGGATCCTTCGCCTCTTCAGATCATAATCGATCGACGTGGCTGGCTACCGGGCGCCGGTATTTCTTGTACAGTTAATCGTGTCGACTGATTACGCGTTCTCGAACACACTCTGACTCCGATCGCATTGGCCAGATGATTCCCTATCCAGTTCTCTTAATTTTCCGAGTTTCGAACTCTATATAGAACGATCCACGAATTACTATCCATACAGTGTATTCAATTTCTTAGATTTTCGATAAATGGGAGGTAAATTCAATGTATTTTCCCTGTATATCTCCCATCGTATCGTGGGGTCAACGTTCGTATTTTTCGAGACACCCTACACCAGAGATCAGAAGAACATTATCTGAATAAAGATTTTCCAATAACGAATAAAAGACAGAAAAAAAGTACTTCACAATTTCTAACTTATTAAACGTGGAAATTCTATTTTTTTTTAATAATAAAACAATATTTCCTTTTCAATGAGTAGACACTTGTCAAGCAATTATTTGATCTCATTAACTGTTTAAGTATCAGGATCTTAGATAGTTCTGCGTTCCACTTATGTAACATTCGTATAATATTCTCTCCAACATCTGCCCTCTACATTACTTGTTACACGAACGAGATTACTTACACGTATACGATTCTGTACGTACCCCGATATCCACCAGGCGAAGGTTAAAAGCCGCGGTAAAACGAGAATGCGGCAAGGACGTTCCCCTACCTGTCCCCGTCGTAGCAGTTTAGGTCGCGCGTGGTTACCGACGACTAAATTAATCGCGGCCGCGGATCTACTAATTTATCGGCCAGCGTGGAAAAACAGTTAATTGTAGAAGCAACAGGTACACCCGTACGAAGGACGGGAGAACGACTGCGACGACGTGGCCAGAAGGACGTATTTTTGTCCAAGATAAACGCGTTTTTCACGTCGCGTCGCGGAATGTAATTACAACTCAACGGATCGTCCCGCTTACATATCTTGTTCGGTTTTTCTTGTCGTTTATTACGATTTTCAATGCACGAACCTGTTACACCGAGCCTTGAACGAAAATCGTGTCGATTGGTCGGCCGTTCCTCGA